GAGAATATGATAACTTGCAAAGACACGTATTTCATTTGTTGAGCTGATGAGCACTGATGGTCATACACATTTGGCCTGACTGTGCATCTTCCAGTACTTCCCAGGGGGAAATAGTCACATTTGTGAAGCACAATGGTTTACGGAAAGAACATTCCCAAGTGACGTAGGTTATACACGATCTCAGAAAGATCAAAAACTATTAAAATGAGGTAACAATAAGACTACTTCTCTAAATCTGCTCACTGAGAGGATGGCCACTGCACTAAGGTCCTATAGAATCACATGGCTCAGGTTTTACCTTAGCCAACAAAGAAAGGGTGTGTGCTGTCACTGGCAAGGAATGATGCCCTAGGTTCCTGGCAACTCAAGCTATGTCAGAATTTGCTAAGCTGCACCACACTGAGAGCTAGGACCTATTTACATGGGCTGGTTGCCTTTTATAGGGCATTTAGCAGTTATAAAATAGTACAAGGCATTGTAGCGAGGCAAAAAATGTTAATCCATTTGTAGCAGTAACATATATATAAGTTGTAGCCTTAAAAGACTCATTTCAAATGTTCTCACCTGGTTACTAAACAAGTAGTGCACATTGGCAAAGAAAGTCTTAAGAATAAGTGATAAGGGAGTTCCTGAAGATTCTAATTTAAGATAAAGTATTGCCTAAGAAGTCCCAGACCTCATATTTGAGCTGTTTTCCCAATAATTCCCTAAAGAAAGGCCTTTTAGCTTATTCTACCATAATTCTATTTTTATTTTGCTTATTTTCTGTCACTTTCACTGATCAATGACTTCTGTTTAAACTTTTATATACTACTTCTTTAAATAATTAATGATTTGAATAAATTTATGGTTTTATGCATATTTGCTTAGCAACTAACTGGAATGATTCTGGAAATTGGATTTTATTAGCAAGACCGAAAGAAGGTTTAGTAGAAAAAGGACTGATTTGTGAGCCAGGAGGCTTACTGTAAAATGTTTACTTTTTAAGAATGAGCTCAATGTATAATATAAATCAAGTGCATCAGCCTAATTACTGGAGTCCGAGTAAAGCACATGTTTTCTCTCAAATATGCCTTCCCTTTGGTTGAGCAGGGAGCAGGCCAAAATCTTAATGTTAACATATATGTAAAACATGATGGAGGCTAACCTTCTGCTTCCCTCAAAGACAATGCATGGAATTTTAAATAACAATAATAATGCATGTAAGAATCTACATACAAAAAAAGGGCACAGAAATAATCAATGTACTACTAACATCCATTGAGCAATCTGGAACATGCAGTTTTAAGACTGAAGTAGTTTAGCATTTTTTTAAAAGGTTATGCTGAACTGCAGTCTGATATAGTATCCTTAAAGTTCCTATTATACATTGGGCCCACATATAAGCTACAAGAACTTGCTGTGGAATACAGTGGCCCTGTTGACAGATTTCTACAAAAGCAAGGTCTGGGCCAACTCCTAGATACATTCCTCAGAAATTGCAGCAAAGAGCAGCAGAGCAGTGAGCACAAAGGAGAACAGAAAGATGGCAGTGTGACCTGGCCACACCACTGGAAACATTCTGATCAACATCACCCATGAACACAGAGAACATACTACTATGTACACAATGGTAATAAATTCATATATGTCCCTAGGCATTCCCAATTAGTTAGTTGAAGAATTATATTTGGGGCCTATTTTGATTTAATTTAATCCCTTATCCATACGTTTTCAATAGAGGATAAACTGAAAAATGGTTAAATGCATTTAAACTTTCTTTAAAAATCTATTGTAGTTTTTCTTTAGACATAGAAATAGATTTTTGCTTGTCTGCTGTAATTCTTGCAATTTGATGAACAAAAATGGTATTCCTTAACCCAAGTTTCAAAATACCTTTCCCTAGAGGCCAACACAGAGAAAATAAAAAGCAGCACCTGAGGCCATCCTCTAACCTTACCACTTGTCTTTAGCAACTAGAGCCTTAACTGTTTGGGTATCCCAGGGCCCTTTAAGACGCCCATGCCTGCCAAGACCTTCTCTCTAGAAAAATGCAGTAACCACATCTGTTTCACAGGATTCGTGGACTCCTTGAACACCATAAATAGACCACAAGTTGACTCTCTTATCTGGCTGGGAATAGACTAATACTATTCTTCCAAAAGTCTCTTTAGAAATTGGCATTGAGAACAAGGATAGGGGAGGAAGGAGAGTATCTGCAGTGGGCACAGACCCAGTCGGGGTGGGGTAGTCGCGGTATAACTACTATTTTTGGTGGCTCTAACTTTAATGTAGCAGATAAACAATTAAGGTTAGCAAATGGCAACCTTAGTTTAGTGGGAAGAGAGCAAATTCCTGCATACCCTAAAGAGAGGGAAGCTTCTTTTCTGTTCCAGAGGAAGAGGAGGACCATCATTTAACCCCTGATTAACCCTAAGGAAATCTGTCTTTAAAAATGTGGTTAAAATTAATAGACATTAGAACAGGACCTATGCTCATATTTATTTAGGGTATCAATAATCATAAATGGCTGTTATAATATTAGTATTGTTAAAAAGAGGGAAATTTGGTTAAAAATGTAGCACAACACTTAAAATTTTCATCTTTGTTTAAAATACCTGGAAGAATAGTTAACTGCAGAACTGTCAGTTATTTTGTACCCCTGAGGAAGTGTTTAAAAGTATTTCTTGTGTGCATTATCACACAAAGATTATTCTAGAATACTTTTAATTGAGTTCTATATACTACAAATTATGTGAAAGAACCATGGCACTTTCAAAAAATTGTTGCCACTGAACCATTGGTTAGCATTTCCCTCAATGTATAGCAATAAGCTTCAACAATTCACATTGGCCCAGGCTGACTTTCGATTTTGATGCTATAGATGAGTAGTTTGTGGTATGTTTTCAGAGAAAAACGAAAGCTACATAAATTAAATTATTCTTAAGACTACTCTGACTTATGTAGTCATGAAGGAAAAACTGTATATACTTTTATGAAACCTAATTATTACACAGTTTTGCATTTTGGCTTAATTCATACTTTATTGTTTAGCCAACAAGACTGCCAACTCCTTAAGCTTTACAGCTAGTCAAAAATTAAATCTGCATTAAAAACAGAATTAATGTGTATTTGGGGTTTAATTTTTTTTTGATAGCAAAGTGCAATGTCAGAAGAGTCAATGTACCAAAAAATTGAAACAGAAAATCAAAATTCATTAAAACAATTCCTGTTTGTTTGCTCAGTAGTATATTTTTTATATTCACTGAACATCCCCTTGCCTTTCCCATAATTAAAAAGTTAATTATTGGAATCATTTTTTATGGATCTGAGTTTTCAAAGCATTTGATTTAAATGATGCTATTAATATTTTTACAGCACTTTGAGTAACACTAATCCTAACATTGTTCCTAACATTAATGCAACGCTGTTTTGTACATAATTATATTTAATCGTCTCTATTCTAAACATAATTTTGAATTTAACTCTATGTTAAAGATCCTGCTAAAGTATTAAAAATTAAGAACCCTATGGTCTGAATATTTCATTATAATCTTTTAAAGTTAGCAGTTAAATACTTCCTTGGTTTAGTATTTATGCTCTCCTAGTTTTCAGAAGTTATTAAATACTATAAACAAAGTGTTAAAACTACTATCAACTGTGATGATACTATAATGAGCACGGTAAGTTTGGGGTCTACTTTTCAGCGATCAAACTAGATGAAATAAATAAGAATGCACAAATGTAGCATTTTAAAACCATAATAATTTTAAAAATTCAAGATTAATTAACTGACCTAAACAACTAATGAGGCCAACTTCCTGTCAAAAGCACATTTGGGAATGCCTTTCCAAAGAATATTATAATTGGCTAAAATTTAGCTTTTTAGTTATTAAGTCATATTAAATAAAGTGTTTTTAGTTGAAAATTATCACTTCCTTTTTAAAAAACAAATTGCACTGGATTTATGTACAAAGCACAACCTCTAATATCTACTGAAAAGAAACAAACAAACAAAATACCTAAAAGCTTATGAGACTCTAGGGACAAATCAGTCGGAAATCTATTAATTGCAGATTCAGAACATCTACATTACAATTACCCTAATCTGCAGTAGAATAAACTATCTCCTCACTTTTTAAAAGCTTAGTTACCAGTATTCCTTAAGAGTCACCATCTGAAGGAAAGACCTTATCTATGATTTGATATCATAATCAAATGTTCAAATAAGACAAGTTGGCCCACATTAAAAAGTAGAGTAGTAGACAGAGGCAAGAGCAGCAAGTGGTGAAAGCCTCCTCACATCTTACCAACAGTTCCTTTCTTAAAATCATCTTTAAAGAAATACAAATTTAAGTTCAGTAGCCTCATTCAACCAGTCTTTTAAACCTTAGGGTAACCTAAAATCCAAAAACTTCTCCAATGAATTGACATACCAATTCCTCAATTAAGTTATTTCAGCTGTTGTAATCATACACGTGACATACTTGATTTAAAATTTGGTAGTTTTTTAAGTTTACCTGAATGAATGAATTTTAAACATCATCAATTTCTTGATTAAATAATACTAAAACTGATGATAAGTATCTGAGATTGATATAAAATAACAGAAACCTCTAATTATGGTGTTCAGGATTTGCAGTTACTATTAAAAACAACGCTTTGCATTTTTTCACATCAAAAAGGCTTTGTCAACATTTCTCATCAGAACAGTAAACTACACAAACTGAGTTTCAACAACATTCAGTTACTGGCAATTACTTATAGGAATATTTTCCATTAATGCTTGAAAACTATGAACATCATTTTACTTATATTGCATCAAATTAGAGAATATCTATTGTAAAACATCTCTACTAATTCTTTTCCAGGATCCACCTGCTCTATGCTGCCCACTATAGGAAATGCAATATGGTACAAAAAAATGTAATACTATGCACTAGGGTTACTATTAGTGCAAGCCTGTAAAAAATATTCTCTGGGTACTAAAATACGGTATTCTTGCAAGAGATACAGACTGATTAGTGGTAACCAAATTTATTAAATATAAAGAACATCAGTAGGAACAGACAGGACCAGAAACTGTATCTTGGTCATCCACACGCCAGGAGTAGCAACCGGGTGCGGCAAGGGACGGGGCGTGGAACTTAGTGACTGAGGCGCAGCCTGCAGAAAGATGGAATTCTGCACTAGAGAGGAAATATGAAGGTCAAAATCAACAGAAAACAAAACACCTCAAAAAAAGAAAGTCGTGCAAATACAAATGATTGCTGGAACTGGAAAAAACATTTGAAATAAATTATTCGTGTAATGCATATCTAAATTTTTCAGATGAATCTCATCTTTCCTTAAACCTTCATCGTTCTCTTACAAGCAAATACTGTTAATAGCTTACTTCTGCCTTACATTCTTCTAGTCTTGGAGAAGTTGAACCAAGTAGTATTCTGATAAACATCAAATTTTCTGTTTTTTTCTTTGACTAGAGCATATTCAAAGTGTTATGAATTTAAATTCTATTCATCAGATATACTTTACGACTCCATTTTGAAGACGACAGCTTCTTCTGCAGAAAAGGAATTTTTTTTCAGAGTCAATTCTCCAGTTACATGTCACATCTTAAATTTTTTAAAAAGGCATTAAAACGTTAGTATCACACTCCAGGTCATTAGCCTTGATACTTGTACTGAAAAGCAAAACACACTATTGTAACATATCCATGTGTGTATATTACACACAAACACATTAAGAGCAAGCAGTCAGCGGCTTAAAAGTGGTAACCTCCCTTTGAAGATTAAAAATATAAAATGCCACCCCTCCACTCTGCCCTTCGAATTAGAAATAAGGCAACCACGTTTGCCCGCTGCAGAGTGGGACACTAGAAAAGACGTGCTAACGTCTAACCTGAGACATTGTTTACAATCCTGGGTCCCGACTCGGACGACTTAAATTTCAGTGTACGAGCCTCCGTTCCCACTCCGGCCCTTCAACACCAGCCAGCGCCCGGGTCCGGGCCGCGACCGCCCGGTGCGCCGGGGCTGCGGGAATCCGCGAGTACCGCCCGCTGCGGCCAACCCGGCTCCCGGGCTCCGGCCGACCGCGCGTTCCCGCAGCAGGGGCCTCCGGGGTTCCCAAAGCCCCCGACTGAGACGCGGCCTAGCGACGGGGCCGTGGCCTCTGGCATTTAAAAACTACCCTAAAGTCTCGCTGCACAAGTGGCGCGGCCGAGGCTGCCACTGCCGCTCCGCATCGCCCGGTCCCCGTCCCCTCGCAGCGGGCCGGGCGGCCCAGGCGACCCTCCGCGAGACCGCGGGCAGCTGCCCGGAGCGTGGAATAGCCGCCAAGCCACCAAGACGCCGCGGCAAGTCCTTGGAGCAGTCAGCCGCAGCTTTCCCTTCTCCCTTTAGTTACATTTACCCCGGCGGCTTCTGGCGCTTCCTTCGAGAAAATGAAAAAAAAGTAAAAAAGCGTGGAGGTGCTAGAAGTCGCTGACATTTTCTGTCGAACGAGATCCCCTCGGCTCCATCCCTGAAGGAGGACTTCCAAACTCGGACGCATCCTCAGCGGAGGTATTCCATGTTGACAGATCTCTCGCCTCCCACAAAATGGGGCCGAGGAGGCGGCCGCTGTCTCCTCTATGGGCGCCGCCATTTTGTGAGGCGGCGGCGGCGGCAGGAACCCGGGGTGTGTGTAATGGTTGAATAGAATGACCCCCTCTAGGGAATCCCCGGCGCTGACAGTTACGTAAGGGGCTGTGCGCAAGTGCGGCGTTTAGGGAATCCGCACAGCCCCGGCCACGCAGCTGTGCGGCCCACATCTCCACCACCCCTAAGAGGACCGGTGGGGGAAGGGACAGATGACCGGGTCTCCCTCCTACCCCGCCCCTCCTCGCCTCCGGCCCTGGCCCAGCTTCTCCCCTCCCCCGGCCGGGTCTCCGCCCCTCGCTGGCTTCCGAGACACACTGGCCCTCGGGTGTCAGGAACTTGCTAGCCACAGCCTTGTTCCGACCCCGTTGAAGAGACAAACTTTACTTGGGAAATAAATCCGTTTCCTAGAGTGAGCACCGGAAGCGTGCTGGAGTATATTACATAATTTTTTTTCACCACCGAATAAAACGTTCCCATTGGAACCACTACCTGAAATAATAACCCATCCAGAACTTGACTAGCCTGTGACCTTGGGTTAGTCAGTGACTTTGCTCGTAGTGGCCCTCACTAAAATGGAAATAATGAGAAACTTCACATATTGTGAAGCTTAATTAATGTTTGTAGCCAAGGGCCGACTCCAACACCCCTTGTAAATGCAAACTTGGGGGGTAGTATTTGTTGAGATGTTGAGTCCCCCATTGAAGCAGCTTTTTTTTTTAACCTTCAAAAATGTTTTAAACGAGGATCGCCTTTATGACATGAGAGAAAGCAAGGAAAAACATAAGGTTTTATTCAATCTTTATTTCAAGCGCATCTATCTTTAAAATACCTTAATATAAAAACATAAACGTTAATTATTATTGTCAGAGTACCAAAGATTGCTTCCCAACCAGTTTAATTACTGTTTGCGTAACTCAGCATAGAATAATCTAGTTTGATTTGTGAAGCCAACCAAAGGCAAGATGAATTAAGAGCATTACTCTTTCTACAGAACTAGGACAGACAGTTCACATCGTATTTAATTTATAGTTTGCTAAAGTTAGTTTGTGGATAATTCACGGAAAATGTGCTAACCAGGCCCCAAAATACTAGCACAAGGCTCAGAAAAGCCGATTCCTTTAGACTTAAAAAAAATAAAGAAAAAGGTAACAAATTGACTTTGTCCCGATCTGTGAATGATGCATAGCGTGAGGAGCTGCCCCTCTAAGCTCCCTTTCCCTGCCGAGCGCCACACCGGTTCTGTCGGGCGGGCGGGGACTCCGAGGTGGCCCTTCCAACAGCCGGGCCGGGGACGCGAACATCGCCTCCACCCCTAACCCTGGAACAACCGGTAGTGGCCGTTTCCCCGCGCCGCCCCCCTTTCCGCCGGCTTTGTGTGCGTGTGAAATGTGCGGCACATTGCAGATGAACCCTAAGCCCGGCGAGCCGAGTCTATTGTTCCCCGCGAGGAGCTGCCGGGGCGGTGTGGAGCCAGGCGCAGTGCCGCGGCCGGCCCTCGGGGGTCGCTGTGCGGCGCTAGCAGCCCGGCCGTGGCGGCGGCGCT